TTGAAAATAACCCATCCTGGGCAGTCTGGCTGGCAGGTATTTCGAATACTGCATGAGCATGTTACATGTTTCATGTGTATTTAGATTATTCAACAGACAGCTGCATTGATAGGGAAAGATGGGAAAGAAGTCAGCAGCTGAAAAAAAAATGATTTCTTAAAATATTCTCTTGATTGTATACTACTCAAAAGATCTTAAGGAACACTAGATTCTGTCATGTGACTGTAGTTGATTTGTCAAGAATTGGGTGTTCTTTAATTTCTTTTAAGTAGTATATCTAGTTCAATAGTACAAACTTAATTAATTTAACTAGGATCATGTAATAGTTTGACAACAACCATGAAGCAGTATATTTTCAACCAAAAACCTGACATAAATTAGAAATATCACCATGTACGAAATAAGTTAGTTCAGCTGTTATCAAGCACATGGTAGTTTAAATAGGCGTATACAATGCCCCAGCAATTGACTAGGTCTGTCCAACTCTCCTTCAGCGTTATATATATTCAGGAACACATTCGTACAAATGAAAAAAGGTTTGAGCTGTTGAGTATATTGGCTGGCAGTGGAGCCTGTATTGTATGGAGGTGTTATTAGAGGACCTGTTAGCCCTTGCTTGAAAAGTGTTGACATGTCACTATGGCAACAAGTGATCTTCAGACCATTGTGTCCTGGGCTGAATATTCACAAGTGACATGATTTAATGTCATTAACTTCCACTTGGTGTATAGCATGAACATATCTGGATGTGATTAATGACCAAAAGTAGAATCGGGGTCTTCCTTGTAGTAAACACTATTGTAATCGTCGATATTTGAACCAGTGTTGACTTGACAAACAAATAGAGTTTTATATTGTTGTCCATGTAGAGTGTATATATCGAGGTACATGTATCAGTGTTTATTTCTGTCCCAATACTTGTCTTGATTTCAAGACAATATAGGGGCGGTGGGGTAGCCTAGTGGTTTAAGCGTTGGCTCGTCACGCCGAAGACCTAGGTTCGAATCCCCACATGTGTACAATGTGTGAAGCCCATTTCTGGTGTTCCCCCGCTGTGATGTTGCTGGAATATTGCTAAAAGCGGCGTAAAACCAAACTCAGTCAGTCAGTCAAGACAATATAGTGTAACAGTATGGACATTGCAGCAATACTGGTACCTATATACTGATGTACAAAAATAAAGGAACAAGTGATAAGGGAACCATGCATTTTTTATTAAATAATTTTATTTTAAGCAAATGTTAAAATAAATAGTGCCAGAGAATAATCAGTGTTGACTATCTGCTGAAACAAAATAAATGAAAGGTAAAATAGCTTTGGAAGTTATATGAATTGATCACTGATGGCACAAGGTGTTCATTAAAAGGATAACCATTTTGTGCCTTATACTGACAAGCCATAATAAACAAGTTACTATTAGATTTTATATTTTTCTGCCTCACTCGCTGACACCTCACTTGCAGTCATTGAGCTTTGGTACGTGTTTTCTTTACTTGATGAAATACACTAAAATATACCAAAGTCCATTCATCATTAGACTAACGCTTAGTCTCGAATATATATAATTTTGATATTCCTTTTAAATTGAAAAGGAGCCCCAGTGAGAAGGGAGCTTCAGAATCTGAGGGATCTAGACTTACTTCATTTAGGGCTTTAGCATTGCAGAAAGGTTATACAGAAGGGAAAATGATGTGGTTCAGGGACTGTGAGACAGACTAATTCATCATGTGGTTAGTGTTAACAGATTTGAAAGTAGAAGGGCCTTAATGGTGGGGCTCCTCAATAAGTGTATGCACATCAGTGTGGTGTTCATTGCACATCAATGCATTTTCCAGTGGACATAATTGTCCTATCTCTACTTTGGCAGAGATTATGTTGTCAATGAGAGTAATTTGATGCCTATTTATAGTGTTGCATAGTCAAACACAGGCTCAACATGTGATCATGAGGAAAAGAGTGTAGAGTAATGGAGACATAATTTGGATAATTGAGATGTCTATTGTATGTCTATACAAATTTTGGGATTTGGTTATGAATGGGGATATTACAGCAGTAGAGTGGTCTTGGCAAAGTAGCAGATACCTGTGATGATCTGGATTAGAAATGATCGTCACCAACCCATGCTTGTCATAAGAGGCAACTAACAGGATCGGCTGGTCAGGCATATGCGCGTGTCATCATATCCATATTGCTTGGGTCATTGCTCTCAGTATCAATCACTGGATTGTCTGGTCCAGACTCAATTATTTACAGAACGCCATCATGTAGCTGGAACGTTGCTGAGTGCTCGTTAAACAACTTGAACAAACAAACAAATAAATTAAATACCGGATAGTCATATTTATGGCAGAGAATTCAATCCTATGACCATGATGAGATTTCAAGTGTACAATGATACAATGTTGAGTCACTGCACTGGTTGGTTTTGAATTCTTCCAAAAGTTCTCTAACTATATTGTCATGCCTGCAGTGTTCATTGATCTGGTCATACCATTCTTGCAGTTTAATATAGCATAGTGAATGTGTTTTGGTGTTCATATAAGTTAGCATTTGGCTGAGTGAAATCAGTAAAAACAGTTAAATAAACGTATAATAATGTTTTCCACTAACAGGTGGATACAGGTGTCTGCCTACTGTGATGTATTGCCAGTGTTTGGCACTGACTCTGATTATACATGCTGATCCACTATTTCTGAATATAGTAAAGTAAAAATTATAAATATTATAATATATACCATCAGAATGGTGACTTCTGCATTTCTGACATTTTGTCAATCAATTTCAAAAGGTGATTGAATTTCGAAGAGAATTTAGATTACAAATGTTAACCAGATGTTATATATGAATTGTCCACCTACTGTACCACAACAGGGGCTGTGGGGTAGCCTAGTGGTTAAAGTGTTCGCTCGTCACGCCGAAGACCCGGGTTCGATTCCCCACATGGGCAAAATGTGTGAAGCCCATTTCTGGTGTCCCCCGCCGTGATATTGCTGGAATATTGCTAAAAGCGGTGTAAAATCAAACTCACTCACTCACTATACCACAACATACAATAAATGCTGCAATGCATATTATTTGAAAAGCATACTGCAGTTTTTTAGCCATAGAATGTTTATTTAATTGTTTAATAAAAATACTGCCAAACTGGTTTCAGATATTTCATTGATGAGTAAAGCAGTCACTTAATGCATGTTCCACCCATAGGAATCTAATTTTGAACAAATCATCTTTGCTACAAATAAAAGGTGTAATGTACAACAGTTTAAGCATACTATTCTCACTGTGAGTGTTGTGAACATCTGATATTGACAGCAATGTACAACTATCAAACACAGGTTGCAATACTGACACATTTGTGGTTGAGATTATATATAAGCATGGGGTATTCTGGAGTGTGACTACAGCTGTGATAACATGGTATTTAGATGAGGTCTTATAATTTAGGGCCTGGGCTATCATTATAGGTCAGCTCAATGTTAGCTTTATAGATTTGTTGACATATTGTCAATATTTTGGTTGACTACGGAAACATTTGGAGTGGGGCTGGACTAAAAAATGGTTTGAAAGGATTGCCTGTATCAGAAATCAAAATGCATTAAGTGATCGTAGATAGTTCAATATTTTTATGAGGAGTGTGTATGTTAGAGACAGACCATTGGATTTTCTTTGGAGAAGGTTGTGGCTGGTTACTTTCAAATAATATTTCGTGCCAGCAAAAATGTGAAAAACATTTTCTCAGGTATATGCTCCATAATAAGTGGTTTCTTACAAAAATATGATGTAGAAAAAATACAATTGTTAATTACATCTTTTCACAGAAAAAAAGAGGGCTTTTGATAAAAAATTATCTTGTCCGACAAGAATCTCTTAAAACATTATTTTCACTCTTGACAAATATAATATATAATTTACTGAGATATTGTCTTAAGCAATTTTGTGCAGGAGGTGTCATGGGTGTTGGTATATTTAGACAATATACAAAGGAAAACTTGGGATGATAAGTTTCTTATACTGAGATGTGGGTAGTGAGTCAAAACAAGAGGTTGATTAAAGGCAAGAGGGAGGAGGAGGAGGGGGCCGGTGTGGGTGAGGTGAGGTGAAATTGGGTTTTACGATCGCGGCTTGAGAATATTGTCTTATAGCGTGCATGCGTGTTTTGTTTGTACTAGCCCAGACTGAAGTGTTTTATGTGTGCCCATGAGATACCATGTTTAGTCATGAATACCCCACACTCAGACACATTATGACTCCGAAAGTCCTTGTACCCATTAATGCCAAGCCAGGCAGGGACCAACAAGTACCATATTTTAACGCCTTTTGGTTTGGCCGCCGTCGATCGAACCCGTCTGCTGTCTCAGTGCGTCAAACTACAAGAGGCAGTGAGTCATAAGGTTGAATCATGATGAGGAATAAAGGGAATGTTGGACAGAATTCAGGTGGGATGTATAGAAATGGCTGTTGGAATGGAGACACTCATGGTCTTTGTGGACGAGTGAGTGAGTGAGTGAGTGAAGTATTATGCCACTATATCACGGGAGACACCAGGAATGGACTTCACACATTGTGCCCATGTGGGGAATCGAACCCAGGCTGATGAACTGATGCTTTAACCACTAGGCTAAGCCTGGTGATCGCCCCTAGAATGAGAAAACAGAGGGGGAATTTAGTAATGGTGACACAGAGGGTATATTGGACAGGGGAGGTGGCCGAGAGAGAATTCTGGATGTAACTTTGAAATTTTTGGGAAGGCTTCCCAAAAGAAAAGGACAGTCAGTTTGGGACAGTTTTTACGTTGATACAAGTTTTATTTATACATGCTACCCTGTTAGTAGTTGAAGTTGAAGACATGTTCTAACAGACTATGTTGCAATAGTAATTGTTATCATCAAATTTTGAATTCTGTTTACATTGTGTTTACCATTTTTAAGAATGATCATGTTGTTTTGAAGATGCCCTCTTGATGTTCTTGCTATACTTCATCTTAAACAATTTCATTACAGTAGTCGCCAGTATGCCCTAGGTGACTCTGAGTCTGTGTCAAGGTCACCTGAACTGCGTGAGATTTTACGAGATTTGGATGGAGCATTTCCACGGTCAATTGGTGGTAGATCTGTGACTTCTTCTGATTTCACAGAATCAAAAAGGTAATTTGTGTTTTACTGTAATCAAACTGTAGTCAAATCCCGATGAGTCAAATCGCTGGGGATCAAGTAATAGATTCGACTTATCGATGTATTCGAGACATAGGTATGTCTATGAAGGTAAAAAAAAGATGATCCAGTCCTAATTCCTCCGCCTAAGCATTTTCTTATCTAATGATTTCCCTATCACTAATAGGGGCACCTTATCAGTTCCAGTCTGATTAACACAGGCAGGGATTTCCGTAAAATCACTAATCTGCCTTTTGAACTCACCCGTCAATGGTGGAAAGGTGTGAGCCGCGCTGATTTGTTAATTGGATCAGTTTGCTACACCAATCAACTTCTCATTGACTGACTTCGGCTTATGTATACAAGATTGCTGTTGTTTGAATCTCATGGGACCAAATTTCCTTCTCGAGTCATCGTGTGTATTTATGAGACGAATTCGTGTAACCGGTATTCAAATGATGACAACTATAACAGGGAATGGTCGGGACCGACAGGTACTTCGAGTTATGCATAATATTCGAGACACCGGCATTCGACTCATCGGGATTTGACTGTAATATTTATTTTCAGTGAAATTAGGAAATGATTGTTTGCTTTTTGTTTAATGCCACACTCAGCAATATTCCAGCTACATTGTATATCATGGCAGTCTGTAAGTCATACGTGGTGTAGTGGTTAGAGCGTCCGCCCCGAGAGCGGAAGGTCGCGGGTTCGATCCCCGACCGCGTCATACCAAAAGACGTTAAAATATGGTACTTGTTGGTCCCTGCCTGGCGCTCGGCATTAATGGGTACAACAAGGACTGGTCGGCTCGGAGTGAGTATAATGTGTCTGAGTGGGGTATTCATGCTTCACTGCGGCATGGTATCTCAGTGGGCTAGCACTATAAAACCAGCTTAAGTCTGGGCTAGTACAAACAGCAGCACATACACATACACACACATGCACGTCATCATATGAGCGAAATATTCTCAAGCACGACATAAAACCTAATTTCACCTCACCTCACCTGTAATTCATCAAATCTGGACCAGACAGTCCAGTGATCAACAGCATGAGTATCGATCTACACATTTGGGATACAATGACATGTGTCAACCAAGTTAGGGAGCCTGATAGACTAACGCTTAGTCTCTGAATATATAATTATGATTGTAACAAATAAACCCATTTATATTGAAAAGGAGCCCAAGGCAGACTGGGGATATCTAGACTTGCTTCATTTAGGGCTTTAGCACCGCAGGGAGGGCTAGCAGTAGGGAAAAAAATATGGTTCAGGGACTGTGACAGACTAGGAGCCTGACAACCAGATCACATTAGTCGCTTCTTACGACAAGCATGGGTTACTGAAGATCAATTCTAATCCGAATCTTCACGTTTAGTTACATATTCTTCCATATTCACATGGGTGATCTACTAGTCCGCGGTTCAACAATTCACAGTAGAGAGTTGCTTCCAAATAGTGAATTATTCAATAATCAGAATGAATCCAACTCCTTTTCTCATTGGGGTGTTTGTTTCTTCCATCAGTGGAACTCCCAAGCAGCGTGTCCTGTCCAGCAAGAAGCTGACTGCATCCCTGAAGTCCTCCACCTACCTTGGTCGACCTGCGTCTGCTGGTACAACTCTTTTCTCATTACGATGCTTAGAATAAGATTCTCTGTTGATAATCTTGTTTTGTTTCTTAGTTGCTGTAGTCTACACTGTACAACGTCAGAGTTACCAAACTTCCTGTATTAAGCACTTTTCTGCAGTAAGAGCCTCCATCTCTTAGGCCAGTCTATAAAGATATTTTGTATGACGGATGCTTCTCTTTTTGCAGTTCAGAATGTCCCAAGCCTTTTTGGATTGTTTATATTTTTTAAAATTTTTAATAAATAAGATGTTTATTTTTGTAGTGTCAGCATCAGCATCTGTGATATCGGAACCAGCTGTCAATCTGCCCCGAATTGCATCTGAATCCAGCATCAGGTCAAGGTCATCCACAAAATCAGGGCTGTGGGTTCAAGAGGAAGAAGGTGATCAGGGATCAGCTAAGGGGTCATCCGGTCGGTCAAACAGTGGCAGGACTCGCAGTACTAGGTCTCACAGTTCAAGGTCACGCAGTGCCAGGTCTCGTCCCAGTAGAGAGGCTACCCCTGTCAGTGACAATGTGCCAGGCAGGAAGAGGCAGGTGCTGCCCGAGCAGGAGGAGGGGATGGGTGAGGCCACATCGGCAGCAGATGAGCAGGAGATTCTCTTACTCTCAGGTGGGTTTAAGATCCAAGGCAGATTTTCTGATTTGGGATTTACTCAGTGGGCTGATTTGTTTTGGCTTGACATTTGGCACTATGTCATGAACTGGGAGCTTTCTTAAGCTACTACATAAACATCCATTGCTTTAGGATTAACATTTTGGGATCAAGAAAATTATTACCCAGTATGTTTCCTTATTATAATTATCAGGGAAAGATGTGTATTAATATTTATGATATTAATCGCCTCATAGTAGCTCATAATATAAGTCACTGGTTTGTCTGGTCCAGTAAATAATTTACCAAGCACTTTCCCATGCCATATTTGCCAAATACGTACCGTAGGAGTTTAGAAAATTGACAATGATTCATATAGAACAGAATGGAAGCTGCTGCTGGAATGCCATAGGCAGATCCAGAGGGAGGATGCAGGGGTGTGTGCAACCCCCACCCCCCTTTGTCCTGAAAATTTATTAAAATGACTATTAAAAACAGGTGAAAATGAAGTGTGCACCCCCCTTTCTCAAAAAGCTGTATCCGCCCCTGAATGCAAGTTGAAAGTTTTAAATTCTCTGAAACAGTTGGCCATGCATGACTTTATCACTCCCCATGGTGTCCAATACAGATGCTGAGGAGGAGGCAGAGGAAGCAGGTTCTGGAGGAGAGGCTGACCAGTGGCCGGCTATGGAAGAGGATGGACAGAAAGGGTAGGTCAAGGCTACATTTGTTAACTGTTTGTTGAAGGGGAACTAGACTCTGGCAAGTTGGCAGTACTAGCAAGAATTGCTCAGACTGTTCAAACATTAATATGATCATCTGCTGACTCTGTGGTATGATGAGATCAGTTACCCAGAGACATGTTGTAGATCACACAGGAAGTTGAAGTTCATATTGTTCAAACACTGCTTTGATTATCTGCTGACTCTGCAGTGGTATGGGGAGGCCAGGGACCCAAACATACTGATGGTTAACAATTGTATATTCTTCTCTGATCCTGGCTTTCATTCTGTATGCTGAAGTCTAAGAACACAAAATCACACAGATATTTCTACAGCTTGACACTGCACAAGTATCTTGTGTTTACAGCAGTGGGTCTCCGGGAGCAGATGTTCAGGCAGCTGCACAGTCTCTGATGCCACAGTATAAAGGTAGGTGATGCTCAACTTATTCAGGGTGGCTTCGTGGTTAAAGTGTTTGCCCATGACACCAATGCTTCTGTGTGATTACCCTCACAGGTACAATGTGTGATAAGCACATAAAACATAAAACGTTTAAATAATAGTTACTAGGCAAACATTTGCCCGTCCCAGGCTGCTTTCTTTTTTAAAATAAGGGCAGTAATATTCTAGATAAAATATTTATTGTCATGTAGATAGTGTTTAAACTAGGGGCCAATGTGTTCAAGCAGGATGAAGCGGGATGTTGCAAGGGTCCTGCTTGCTATATTCTAGGAGTGAGTGAGTTTAGTTTTACGCCGCACTCAGCAATATTCCAGCTATATGGCAGCAGTCTGTAAATAATGGAGTCTGGACCAGACAATCCAGTCATCAACAGCATGAGTATCGATCTGCTCAATTGGGAACCGATGACATATGTCAACCAAGTCAGCGAGTCTGACCACCCGATCCCAATATTCTAGGACAGCAAGGGTAGGGTAGCGTAGTGGTTTGAAAGGTTGGTTACATGACTATATATCTCCCATGATGCTCTATGTCAGATGCTGAGGAGGCAGGTTCTGGAGGAGAGTCTGACAAGTGGGCAGCCATGGAGGAGGACAGACAGAAAGGGTAGGTCTGCTTCATTTGGGTGACTGTTAGTTGAATGGGAATTAGGCTCAAGCAAGTTGTCTTAGCAAGGTTGATTCATTATCAGCTGACTCCAGACATGTAGGAGGAGGTACCCAGAGATTTGTTGAAGAGTCACACATGACACTAATTGGTAGTAATGTCCAGAACTTCATCTTGGCTCTGATCAGTGAAGCACAGCAACCCATTCAGTCAGGAAACTGTTGCTATATTACAGGATCTGGATAAATTTCCACCCCATCAGGACATCTTTAATTTAGTATCAAACATTGCTTATGACTATTTTGCTTCATTAAAACAATGATTTGGTGTAGCATTCCACTTGCATGAGGTGCTTATATTTTATTCAGATAATGTAATTTCATTATTTGACATCTCAACCTCAGGATAAGTTCATATAGGCAAGAATTTTATACAGATTCCTTGGTAAAAAATTGTGTATTTTCTGATTGTGGCTTTTTGTTCTGGTTGATGAAGGCTAAGAAGTACAGATATATATACAGCTTGAGACTGCACGAGTAACTTGTGTTTACAGCAGTGGGTCTCCTGGTGCAGAGGTTCAGGCAGTCACACAACCTCTGATGCCGCAGTATAAAGGTAGGTGATGCTCAGTGCATTCAGGGGGTTGGGTGGCCTGCTGATTTGCATCCTGAATGCTTCATATCAAAACATGTTGAGAGATGTTACTCAATATACATATAAGTTCATTAATCTTAAGGCCAGACCAATTTTATTTCTTGTTTTACAAATTTTTGTTCTCCGAAAACCTAAAGGCAGGAGGGACAAAAATAAAAAATAAAAATCACCAGTCAAAGTAATATTCCTTTTAAATACTATAAGCATTTTATTTTGGGCAATTTATGAAGTGTATATGGGGCCAAAAACACTAAAAAAATTTTTTGTTGGTACATTTACAATTTTGGCCAATAAAAACATGAGGATTTTACTTTTTGAAAAAATATGACTGGCGGATCCGTAAAACAAGAAATAAAATTGGTCTGGCCTAAGCAAGAAAAAGAAAATGGTTTAAAAACACCTTTCCGTGTAGCGGCCTTTGTCAAAGATCAAAATGTCTCTGGAGAGTTGCATCCCTTTGGTGTGCCAGGAACTGGTAATTCATGGTTTAAGTCCCAGAATTATACACTGATTATGTACTCTTTAATATTAGTTCAGTTTATCCTGCTTGTGGAGTTCACCAAGGTCATAATATGATCTTGTGACTGAAGCAATGTTTTAAGGAAATGGCATACTGCCAATATAATGAATATGTTAAACTGAGCTGCACAGTATATTGGTAAGACACTCTTTCACTGTACCTTTGATGTAGGCTTAATGAACAATTATGAAAATAGCTATCATTGTGATGAGACAGTTTAGAAGAGGAATGAGTGAGTGAGTGAGTTGGGTTTTACTCCGCTTTGAATGATAATGGTGTGTCAGCACGAGGATTGAACAAATCTCAAAGTAATGAAGGTTAAAGATTGAATGACACGTCAGAGATCATATCTGAGTTGAATCTTGGGTACAACTAGCATATCCTGGTAGAGCCATGGGATGCAACTCTGACAGTTATATTGGTAAGCACATGTTTGGGTTGCCTGAACCAGGGGCGGATACAGCTTTTTGAGAAATGGGGGGTGCACACTATTGAGAAAAGGAGGGGTGCACACTTCATTTTCACATTTTCAGTTTTAATGGTCATTTAATAAACTTTCAGAGCAAAAGAGGGGGGTGCGCCCCCCTTGCACCCCTTTCTGGATCTGCCTTTGCTGAACGTATTATATGTAAAGTAAAATCAATAGGGCAGCGCAATATAACCGGTTTACCGGTATTTACCGGTTCAGACATGAAAATTCTGTGCAATACCCACCCCTAATAATCAACCAAGTCATTTGGAATTGTTCCAGCAACTAAACTAGCGGGAGATGCTGACATGGTGATTGACACCGCAGAGTCGGATGCGGAAGAGGAGGCGGCAGCGGTGGAGAACGTCACTGGAGGCCACCTCACTGATGCCAGTCAGGGTAAGGTCAAGCTGTGCTGTGCCATAGGGGTTCTTATAACACAATACTCAGGTCTCTGTAGATAGGAAGGCTTACTTTATGCTGCTAGAGTCTTAAAATTATACAGACTTTTGTTATGTTCTAATTTCAGGCTTTTGAAGAGCCACAAAATTAGATTATGTTAACCAATACACTCAGATGTGGATGTAGTGTACATAGAGCTATGGCAAATATAGTTTTGTAAATATCCCCATAGAATTAGTTCTAGCTGCTTCAGAACAGTTTAGTTACCACTGACTTAGCTGCTTGTGTTCCATGCCATGTTATCATCATGTGTGATGTGTCATATTGCTTATACAGGCATCCCTCGCCAAAACGCGGGTCTTGGGGTCCATGGATGACCCCCCGCATTATTAGACACCCACGTTATAGTAATGATTACATACGCGGAACAAAGGCCAAGTAAAATCGTATTTTCCATGGACATAACAAAACTGCTAACTCGTGTGTTGTGCCCAGTCAAAACTTTATCGTATTGTAATGGAGGTGAAAAAAACAACAACTTTGTAAATGAAAATAGATGTATGTACATGAAACTTGCAATCAAACATCACAAGACATGATAATTCAATTGTTGTTCCTGTCATGCTACCTGTTATTTAACTAAGCTGGAAATAGCAATCAGCTGGGCACAGATCGATGTTTTGGTCCAATGTAGCAGTGATTCAGTTAAAAACGATCCGAAAATATAACATCAAAGAATTTCTATTCCAATTCAGAATAATTTATATGTCAAGCAGTTATTCTAACAGAGATGTTATATATTGCTATCATATAAGTATAATGCATGTTTTCTACAAACATATTTAACATAATGATGAGCATTGCTAAGCACTTTGGGTTACCTGGCTGGATATATTTTACATAGGAGACAGTTGGACAAGTCACCGCTGACTTCCCGTGGTACGTGCCACTTTGATTGTAAAAACAAAATGTTGGCAATTAATTGTCAAATATGACTTCAATGAGTCAATAATGCGGGTCTTGGGGTCAGTGGATGACAAGGCTGTAATCTGTTCGTGATTGCTGCGAAAAATGTGAAATTGGTGCTGTCGCGGTAGGTGCGAAAAACGGACCCTCACGAATGTGGTAAGTGGGCGTTGTATGGAATGAGGTAATGCCATTTCACTCACGGTTTCTCCGTTGTTATTGTAAACAGTCTAATGAATGCAAATGGGATTGAATTTAATCAAATAAAATGTGTTTTCTGACATAGTACATTCTCGGATGGCAGTGTTTACCCGCGTAATTACGCGGTGTGTTGCATCATAACAAACGTTGTAAGTACTCGGCTGATGATCGACATGTCTTTATGATAAAGTTATTACGATGTTTCGCTGTTCATCTATTATTATTGAAAAAAAACCTGCATGTTTTAAGCATCTGAAAAACCATGGATATGTACGATAAACACTGTTAATTGCAATCCGCACTGAATTTCACTAGTTTACAACGTGATTAACCAGAGCTCAAGAGCGGATTTGTTGATGTGCTATTTTCGATGACATGAATATGTGTGATCACTGGGCAACTTTTTTTATGGGAGCCACGGATTACCCTGCGGTTTAACCGAATCCGCGGTATCGCGCAGAGCGTTATTACGAGGGATGACTGTATAATATTGTTGTTGTCTTTAAATTATTCAAACATCATCATTACCTATTAGCTGCAGTTCTAAAACTATTGGTGGAAAGGAGGGCTTTAACAAAGGGGTTCATGTATGCTATACAAAGCACAGCAATGTCCTATTAAATAGGACAGGCAATGAACTCTATTATGCAGAGTGGACAGCTAGTATGCAGAGTGGACAGTCACTGTGAACCACATTAGCTTTTTACTGGTTATAGTTCTCATTTTATTAGTACTAGTGGCTTAACGTTTCATCATGTTGACCTTCGAGAAAGTAATGTTTCTGGATCAGTAAAAAATCTTGAAACTGTAAAGCAATGTAATTTTGTTTTCTTTGGACCCAATAAGTTTGCATGAGAATCAGTTCTTTATATCCTATTAGCCAATGTTGAGTTTGTAGTTTTTAGGATAAAATTGATCAAATGCAGTGACAGTATTTTAGAGGTAGATTTCCATTGTTTTAACATTGCCAGCTGCAGATGACGTTGCACTGACCACAGATGTCACTGAAGAAACACATATCACATCCTCCCCCACCCATCACCCTCCCCCATCTCCACCACCATCACACACAGACCTCCCTGCAGCCTCAGTACCACAAGAGAGGAAGCCTGATTATATTCCAGCTGTGGATGCCGAAGCTCATAATGTTGGTGTTGACAATGTTGGCCCCCTTGGTGTTGATCTTGATGCAGAGATCTCTAAGTTACCAGTAGATGGTTGCACGTCTGATACTAAGGGTGAATGTTCAAAAGATGGAATTTCCCCTGATGAAGGAATTCTTGATAATGTATCATCAAAGTCTAAACAAGGGTCAAGGCCACAGTCTGCTGTTTCCTACCCTGGGTCAAAGGTTGACTCACAGCCTGGATCTAATGTTGGTTCTGATGTAGAACAAAGGGATTCAGATGATTTGAAGAACTTAAATCCATCTGAAGATGATAATGCTACTGGTTCTCTAGAGAAAATGTCACAAATGATGCAAGATTCACACCAGCATGACCAACATTCAAGGTCAGGATCACATGATGGGTCAGAGCAAGGGGCAAAGTTGACATCTAGGTCAGGGTCACAATCTGGGTCAAGGTCAGAATCCATCTCTGGAGAGAAAGTAGAACCTACCAAGGAAGTTGAGTTTCAGGATAAAGACGATGTGTTGATGACAGAGAGTAAGTCTGAAGTGCAGTGCCTCCTCATACTGTATGTCTGCACTCAGGATGTGGTGCATGCATGCTCACAGCTTGTACCCTCACACTGCACCCTCACACTGTACCCTCACACTGTATCCAGCACAAATAACTCATCCCACGTCCCATGCGTAACCCTGTGTGTCATAATATGGTTGCTGTGCTTTTTTTCACCTTATTTTGTATTACAATACACCCAAATCATTTGTCATACCCACACGTCTGCATATTATACATTATTACTTGCCCGTGGAAGACACTGCAGTGTAATATTTTTACGGCAGTATTACACTAGTGTAATACCGCTTAGACATATGACGTCATAATGGTTACAGTTATAACGTCACACTGCAAATGCCTGTGTCGCAATGGTTTTAGAGCTTGCTTGACTCGTGGAAAATTGACATCAGAGTCATCACACTGTATAGTAGTAGTAGGCAGTTTCTATCGATGTATGTTGGAGAGTAATAAACAAAATACTAAACTCGCTTCCGTGAAATACCATTTTTATTAAACTTGTGAAAGATTTAGCATCAAACTCGCTTTCGCTCATTTGATACCAAATCATTAACTCGTTTAATAAAATTGCTATTACACTGAAGGTCGTTTAGTATCCTCTATATATGAGTTACATGCGCAACGCATGGGGAGAATGGAATTTTATTAGCTGAATTTGCTTGTAGCCCTGAGAATAAAGGTTGTAGGATTTACTTGAATGTGCAGCTAGTAAAATCCTTTACACACCACTAGCGAAGTACTCCCCCATCTCAGCCATCTGTGCCTGTCAGTCTAATAGATTTTATAGTGTTAATGAGGGCAGTTTCAACAGATGTTACAATATAAGGTTTTTGCTTAAGCAGACCGTTCTTGAATCTTAACTGATTGACGAATAGTGTGTAAATTTACCAAAAGCAAATTTTTTAGGAGAGACAACTTTGATGAGTCTTCAATATCATTTACGTATCGTGTGATGATATGATAGATTGTATGGGTGTAATATATTTATCTATGTGATCAATAACAATATTTTATATCAGCAGTAAGTATTGGAATTCAATGTCATATATTCCCTTTCATTTATTAGCATTGTCTACACTGATCATTGCTGATAACTAAAACTTAGTTAAATCAACACTGCTTGTTTCAGCTGATCTCAGCAATAACTGAGTCAATGGTATAACATATTGATTTGCTAATTGTTCTGAAATTTCACATGTTGGTGCACTTTTCAAGTCTCTGATTAATATTATTAATATTTGTGTTTACTTTTCAGGAACATATATTGTTTTCTGAATTATATTACTAACCTTGTTTTCAAATATTTTATTCTTTTTGTTAAAAGTTTTTAAGACTGCATATTTATCTAATTTCCTTCTGTAAATACAAATGCAAAATTAACATATGTGTTTACTTTGCAGAAATATTTTTGTGGCATGTATCATTACTCTCAAATATGATCAATAATTGAATTGTCTGGCCCAGATTTGAATATTTACAGTTAGTTACAAGTTGACATCATGTAGCTGGGGTTTAGCATTAATCAAAAGACTATAAAGGAAATGACTAAAGTTTTCCTTGCATATTCTAGCCATATTATCGATAATCAAGGGTCATGCTTGTTAAAGATAATTCAGAAAAATTACAAGGATGTGATCTAAAAGGGAAAAGAGAACTCTCTCTGAACCCAAAACTATCATTGTCTTCATATTTCATACTAATACTAACTGGTACTGTATCTAAATATACTGAACCCCCATCTGCACTTTATGGTTTAAGACTGCTAATGATATTGTTGATGTTATTTAGGACTTATACCTGACCATGACATGCAACTAGAAGGGGAGACAACTCAAGATGTCCTAGAAGATAAGCAAACAATGGAACTAAAGGAAAAAATGGAACTTGAGGAGCTGGAAGGTGACATTTTATTCAACAGCTACTTTAGATAGTGATGTATAAAATATGTCTGACAATAAATAATGATATTCATTGAAACAAAATGGTAGCACATGAAGACTGCAGTCACAAGTCTAGGGGAGATAACTCTCATTTTGATTGAATTCTTCCCAGGTGTGCTGTTTCTGTAATTCAATTGTAATCATCAATTACCATGCTCAAAATGACTGATTAGAAGCTGTATACCTCTAATATATATGTTGTATTGCTGGGTTGAGTGCCTCCTTGACAAGAAGGGAATTAATGTTAATAAAGTTATAGCGAAGTGATGTAATATCCTTATATGGTCATGTTTGTGATATGATTCCAGGTGAAGCGGTGCCATTCACAGATGCTAGAGACAGTGAGGTGACAAGTGGGTCTTGCACACCATCCATTATTGATGTTGTATCAGAGGCAAACAAAGATATCGGCGACGAAGACCATGTTTCACCAGATGATAGTGCTGGCCGAGATCACCAGCCGGATCCTGACCCCTTTCAGGATGGTGACCTTGTTACTGATCCTGCCCTCATTGCTGATGGAGGTGATGGTGACGGCGATGGTGATGGCGATGGTGACAGAGGTGTTGACAGGGATGTTGTACCACCTAGCCCTGTTACTACTCAAGCATCGGATGAGGATGTTGAAGTCACTGCTGTTGCTACACAGGGTGAGGTGGAGGAGGGTGGAGGGTCACTGCTGGGGAAGGATGAGGAAGCATCAGCAGGAGGTGCTGAAGCAGGACCTGAGGGGGAGGACTCTCCTCCTGGACAGATGTTGGAGGGAGAGGAGAGCCAAGCACCTGCATCCCCAGTCAAGGAGAAGAGCAAGGTCACATTCAATGAGGTAACATCCCTGATGGATGTATTTTTTAGCTTGTATTGTGTGATTTTATATATGAGATTGGATCATTGAACTGGTTAAAGTCAAGGGGTGACAGTTGTTGAGATTTTATTTTAGTGGCATTCTAATGTAGGGAACACGTTTTTGTTACAAACTGTAGCAAAGTTGTTATCTGAAAAGTGTTGTGTCCATAGGGATATCAAGGAATGTGCAGAAAATTGTGTGGTTATTGATTAAAGTATGATTTACACATAAATCCACACCAATAGTATATACCATATTTACTGAAATACTTTGATTGATCTTATGTACAAAGGAGGTAACAACTCAGATTGTTCCTGAAACCCCACCCCAGACCAAGAGACAACCTCAACCTCCAAAGGCTAAGCCTCCCACAAAACCAGTTTCGAAGACAAGGACTCCAGCAAAGGGAGGCAATCAGAAAGATGTAAAGGCTGAAACCAGGAAGTTTGTTAAAGTAATGGACATCACCTCAGTTCAACCCGAGACTGACAAACAGGAAGTGAGTTATCTCAACTTTAATTAAGTACAGGTTACACAACACCAAATGTTTTCCCATAGACTTCTATAGTAATGTTAGACCAGACGAATTTTATTTCCTGTTTTACAGATTTTTGTCCTCAGAAAACCTAAAGGCAGGAGGGAAAAAAATAAAGATATGTTCACCAGTCAAAGTAATATTCCTTCTAAATACTCAAAGCATTTTACTTTTGGCAATTTATGAAGTGTATATGGGGCAAAAAACGATATACAATTTTTTTTGTTGTAAGTTTACATTTTTGGTCAATAAAAACATTAGGATTTGATTTTTGAGCAGGGAAAATTAATTTTTATTTTTTTTCTTATTCTTGAAAAAATACGACAGGCGGATCCGTTAAACAAGAAATACAATTGGTCTGGCCTTATAGACCATCTAGGCTGACACATGGGTACAGTCTTGCCTTTAAACTACAATAAAAACACAAATTCTGACTAACTTATCCTGCCAGTTTTGAGCACAGGAAGCTGAACACATCACCCCCAGTTCCGCACCAAAATCACCTACTTCAAAATACCTGTTCACACAATAAGCATGAGTCATGGTGATAAAAATGACAGCACTAAATACTTAAAATTGTGGTCAGTTTTATTTACTGGATGGATGTGCCTTTAAAAAACATAAAAATATTTCACTATTTCATCCAATCACAGCTGTCACATGTCTCTATCTCTTCAGATGTTTTCATCTGCTCAGGGAGCATGTGATTCTGATTTAGTGTAGTGGAACCTATAGATTTGTTCTTCTTTATGCAATAATGTTTAACAATTTTCCACTATATATATTGCTCAAGTGACTTCGTATGATATGCATGTAGTGATTAATTTGACAATTATTAGAAGGCTGTATATGTCTACTTTCATGATTTCACTTTTAAAATTAAAGGGAAACAATGTATAACTTTGATACTTTTAACTGAAAAAATATGTTTCATACATCTTCAAAAGAGAATGTGAAAATATTGTTAAAACTCTTGTATTTTTATAACTCTAAAAGGTTGAATACAAAAAGAGGCTTACAATTGTCATAGTGTAGATTGATGTGGAATGAATCCCTGATAGTGCGCCATTTTTAATGAAACAGTCAATGAAGTTTAAAGCACCTTCCCAAAATGTGACCAACTCCTGCATCCTACCATTGTTATTATAACCAGATTTTATTCCTCTGTGCAGATATGACAAACCCTCAATCCAGTCCTTTCTGTGCAGGTTCCTAAGCCAATGTCACCTTTCTGCAATGATGCAGCTTCTTCTCTTAACCACAGCAATTCAGAAATTACAATCTTCAAGGAGAACCTTTGAACAAAGACACCCTTGATAAAAACTCCTTTGGGTTTGAATTTATGAAATATCTAAAGAAATTGTATATATTTTGACATTTGAAAGTGCCTGTTCATGATTATTTTCAAGATTCAGATATTCCACTGTCAGTGCTCTGCCTTTTCATTCTGAGATTGTTTAATCTTTGGTGCTGCTTTTTTCTATATGAGAGTTCCCCTGAAGTGACTTCCTGTAGAAGGTTCATCAGATCTTGACACAGAGTGCTGTTGTATCAGATTAAGAGGCCTGCTTCAGATGAGATCATCATCGTCATTACACCTGTAAATTACTGTATCCTTCCTGCTTACAATGCAGGTTGAGAAAGATGTCCCAGCAGCTCCAGTGAAGAAGGCTAGAGTCAAGAAGCCACCTGCTCGACATGTAGAGACTAAGTCGGACAAGACCAAGTCGTCGGTGTTGCCAGCTCACATGGAGGAGTTTCTGGGACGCCGTAGCACATCTAAATCTCAAGAGGAACTGGAGGATGAGATTGCTCAGAGTAAGTAGCTTCAGTTATATACCATCAAGATAAGATAAGATAAGATAGATAAGATAATTCTTTATTGTCCCAAGGGAAATTTGTTTTGCATCATACGTTCTCCAGTTTTTCATTCATAAAGCAGCCGTACATAACATTGCAATTGGTAATCATGAAATAATCAGGATATAAATACATTCAATTTAGTACACAAACATAGATATTGAATAGAATTTTGACAATTAAAAGACAAGTCATTCACAGAATTTGTTGTTACTGCATCTAATACTAGCTGGAACAAATGAGTGGCGAACCCTGTTTGTTCTAAAAGTCGGCATACGCAGCCTGCGTCCCGAAGGTAATGATGAATATTCAGAAAAGAGTATGTGAGTAGGATCACTTAAAATTTTGTTTGCCTTTTTTGAAATTTGCTGCTCATAACAACTGCCGATACTTTCGATAGGAAGCCCAATAATTTTAGATGCAGTGTTTACGATTTTTGAAAGTTTGTTTTTATTCTGAACAGACAGGTTCCCGAACCAACAAAAGAAATTAAAGTTTATGACACTTTGAATAAAGGTTTTGTAAAATAACATCATGATAGTTTGGTCGATTTTAAAATGTTTCAACTTCCACAAAAAATGCAAGCGTTGCTGTCCTGTTTAATATATTTTCTCAGTGTTTTCGTTCCAGGAGAGTTTCGAATCTAAGACAGTACCCAAATATTTGTATTAAGTTACTCTTTCGATTTCATTATCTTCAATAGTTACAGCATTTATTGTTGACTTAGTTTTTCTAAAATCTATGATAATTTCTTTGTTTTTTTGCACATTCAAAAATAAATATTTGATTTACACCATTCTACAAATTTAGGAATTTCAGCTCTGTAACTAAGTTCTGATTCCCTAATAAGGCCTACCAATGCAGCATCATCAGCGAATTTGACTGTAAAACATGTTTCTGTGTTGGATACACAGTCATTGGTGTACAATATAAACAAAATTGGTGAAATAAAGGGTTGCTATTGGTGATTGTAGCCTACTTTACCCAATTTCTCGTCATGTGAAAATGGAAAGAAAACAGTGTTTCTTCAATAAATATTAAAGGGTTATTTCTCATCCTCCATGAACTTCCTTGTGCATTTCCATTCCTGAAATTCTTGATTGGTGAACCTAGTGATCACAGAAATGTGCCTTAATTTCCTGGAAAAAAGTAGTAGAAAACGAAAACAACAAATTAAAGACAATTGTGGTTTGAAATTTAGTGTGTCTTAAATTAATGGTACATTGGGTAATTTTCAGTTTGCGCAAAGATGTTTTTATGCTGCACTTAACAATAATCTAGATATATCATAGCAGAGGACACCAGAAATGGGCTTGACAAATTGTCCCCATGTAGAGAACTGAACTCAAGCTATGGCATGATGAGCAAACACTTTAACCACATACAGTCAGCTCTCGTTAATCCAACACTCATTAATCCGACAATCACGTTAATCCGACAAAAAATTAGGGAACCATTTAAAACAGTGATAATTACTCTCGTTAATCCGACATTCTCGCATTCCGACTCCGACACACCAATCTAGCAACCGATCATTGTAAATACATTGTAAAAACATTCGTTAATCCGACAATCAACACAGCCGGTCGGATGATCCGACCGTATACAAACATCACACATGAAAGGTGATTAGCGCGTGCCTTACTGGCTGCTTAACACCCACGTCAGTGAACATCACACTTGTTAATTAGGAACACAGGATAATTAATTGAGGCGATTTAATCAAGAAATAACAGTAGAGCGAGCTGTATAAAATGTTTACAACCGACATGAGTTTTCATCACAAGATGTCTGTCACGAGTACACCAGCTGCTAAGCGACCCCTTGTAGAAGTCATGCCTTTGATCAAGAAAGAAATCTCCTTTTGAAGAAAGACAAACCCCAGACAGCACAACAAGAAGTCATCACTTTTGCTGAGTAGAAGTTTGATGTGAAGATTGGACGATCAACCGTATCTGACATCCTGAAGCAGTCTGCTTAGTGGTTGAGCGTCTCTACGACTGATTCCAATGCTTCAAGCTATCTGAGGCCAAAACATCGTTGAACACTTTGCAAACATTTGTGACACACCACTTAGACGTGTTTGATGTTAATGACCATCAAAGACTTTTTCAAGTTATAAATTATATATGTTATGATACACGCCTGATTGTACATTAGACGTCCACATGTTATTATGGAATTAGTTGTATGGAAACTGTAACATATTCAACATCCGGGTCATAATGGCAGCTGATATGCGGTAAAAACAAACGTGAGTTTTGTGCCAATGTGGTCATGAAATAGATATGAAACTGTTCGCTGATGTGATTATAAATGTATGTTATGCCATCTATGAATGTTAATAAATGCAAACAAGTATGTATTGTTAGTATTTCTTATTTCTGTGAATATTTTTACATACGATGAAGATAACTAGATCTACCATTTCTGATATGCATGCAACAGTATGACGATCATGACATTTAGTAAACATTGATATTTTCACACAAATACATTAAAAATCCGACATTTTCATTAATCCGACATTTTCGTTAATCCGACATATTCCTCTGCAACCACAAGTGTCGGATTAACGAGAGTTGACTGTATATAGAAAAAGAAAAACTTAAAATGTGAATAGATTGCTTGATATTAGTTTGTAAGAATTGGTCTTCTGTCTCTGTTTCCCAGTGAGTGTAGCTATTGAGGACACGCTGGCCGGACCTACTCTGGCTGTGGATGCTGGGGAGGGGCTGACGGCAGAGGAGCTGACATTGGCACAGGAGGCACTGCTGGTAATGTTGTTTGTCAGTGAACACCTTGTGCAGAATAGGTTATACCTGATATATCATTAAATCACAGAATATGTGTTACAAGACATCACAAATACCATTGTTTAAGAGAAACGATATAACGCCCTTACACCAACATTGAAATTAGTGATGTTGGATACTGTACTGGTTAACTTTCCATATGTGTCAGGGTAATACGTACTGCTTACGTGTCCTACTCCACATGTGCTGTCAGTTCAAGGTAACAATGGGCTTTGTAAAGAATAGGTGAATAGAAAAGGATCACACACTGAACTGCACACCCTGTCTGTTAGTCGTTGATTGGTTTTGTGCAGTTTCCAACTTCCATGTACACCTGATAAATGACTTCTCTGAGTGGCATTAGAAGTCGGTATGATGAACAGGAACAATGTCTTTTATGGATAGACAATTTCTTTATTGCAATGGATGACACGCATTGTAGATGCTCAGAGGCCCAGATAAGCTGCGTATCCAGGTAAAATACGCATAGAAAATTTCCAATTACGCATTGAAAAATAATTGTTGTGTACCAATTACGCATTTAAAATGTTGGATACGCAAAAAGTTTAAAACAAATGCGTACGGATTATATTTATAAAAATCGCTTGTGTAATGAAAAAGACATCGAATGCTATCAAGTTGTACTGTTAGTATAGGACAAGTGTTGTACTGTCAGTACAGGATGAGTGCTTGTTTATGAAATCATTTCCATTATATTTAACTTGGTTTTGATTAGATAAGGCAGAACATACCTGCTTAGTAAACTTACTCAATGACATAATACTTAGGTGAGTAATATGACTGAAATAGGCACGTATTTGAAAGCAGTGGGTAACGGAAAATGAAATACCCACTCAACATTCATAATATCCACTCCAAAAAAATTACAGTGGGTACAGTACCCACATGAGCTAAATCTTATCTGGAGCCCTGGATGCTTGTTTGTTAAGGGTGTTAACATCTACACTGAAATGTCACATCCATTCAATAAAGAATGCATCTATCCTTAAAGCAGCTTGTTCCTGTTCATCTGATAAGTAGCAGCTGTTTTGCATATGAATAGTGAAATAGTTGCATGGAGCTGAAAATAGACAGCTGTATTGGTTAAAGTAGACGGCACATTATTAAACCTAGAATCAACATAGACACTTTGCAAGATGGAGATATAACATGCTACTGTTCCATATGAAGGAGAGAGTGAAGGAGGCAGAGTCTAAGATTGACAATGTAACCACAAAGACCCCAGACAAACCTAAAGTTGCTGTCAAAGCACCAGGACCCAAGTCCAAGAAGAAGAGCAAGAAGGAAACTGATGAGGAGAAGAGGGATCTGCAGATGGAGAGGGCAGCCATCAAGGAACGGAGGATGAGGGAGAAACAGGTAGGATGAGGGAGAAACAGGTGTTAGGTTGGGACGAACAGGTAGGATGGAGAGAGGAACAGGTGTTATGTCGGGAGGAACAGGTGTTATGTTGGGAGGAACAGGTGTTATGTCAGGAGGAAGAGATGATGGAAAGAAGAACAAGTGTTATGTTGGGATGAACAGGTGTTATAATGGGGGAACAGGTAGGATGGAGAAAAGAACAGGTGTTATGTTGGTATGAACGGGTGTTATGTTGGGATGAACAGGTGTTATGTTGGGGGAACAGGTGTTATGTTTGGGAGGAACAGGTAGGATGGAGAGAATAACAGGTGTTATGTTGGGATGAACAGGTGTTATGTTGGGATGAGCAGGTGTTATATTGGGATGAACATGTGTTATGTTGGGGGAACAGGTGTTATGTTGGGGGGAACAGGTGGGATGGAGATAAGAACAGGTAATGTCAGGAGGAAGAGGTATGATGGAAAGAAGAACAAGTGTTATGTTGGGATGAACAGGTGTTATGATGGGGGAACAGGTAGGATGGAGAAAAGAACAGGTGTTATGTTGGGATGAACGGGTGTTATGTTGGGATGAACAGGTGTTATGTTGGGGGAACAGGTGTTATGTTTGGGAGGAACAGGCAGGATGGAGAGAAGAACAGGTGTTATGTTGGGATGAACAGGTGTTATGTTGGGATGAGCAGGTGTTATATTGGGATGAACATGTGTTATGTTGGGGGAACAGGTGTTATGTTGGGGGGAACAGGTGGGATGGAGATAAGATCAGGTGTTATGTTGGGATGACCATGTGTTATGTTGGGTTGAACAAGTGTTATATTGGGATGAACATGTGTTATGTTGGGGGAACAGGTGTTATGTCAGGAGGAACAGGTAGGATGGAGAGAAGAATATGTGTTATGTTGGGATGAACAGGTGTTATGTTGGGATGAACGGGTGTTATGTTGGGATGAACAGGTGTTATGTTAGGATGGAGAGAAGAACGGGTGATATGGAGGGAGGGACAGATTGGGTGGGTAAGAAATGGGTAGGGTTTGTAAATAATGGGTAGGTTTGGGGAGAATAGGGTGTGGTGATGAAGAAACAGGTAGAATTGGGGAGAAACAAGGGGGGGAGACACCAAAGGGTAGGAATGGGTGAATACCAGATATGGTGTGTGAGAACCAGGTGTGGTGGGTGAGTTTCAGAGGGTGAGAAATGGGTGTGTTTGTGGAGAAACAGGTAGGATGAAAAGAATGAGGGAGGATAAAGGAGAAACGGGTAGAACTGGGCAGAAATATATCGGGTGGGTAAGAAATAAGTAGGAGTAGGGAGAAAGTTGGAGTAGTGTGGCAACATGAATAACAGAACTGATAAGTTTGGCCAGTGAAATGATGTACTGGAGAGTAGATGCAGCTGGTATAGTGCCTGCTAGTTCTGTCCATGTAGACTCCCACATCTCTGCCCACAGCAACGTCTACTGGAAGCAATGGCACTGCAGGAGAAGATCAGAGCCAGAGAGGAAGAGAGGAGGGCAAAGGAGGAGGAGGCCAAGAAGAAAGCAGAGGTAACATTGGTGTCTTGGCTTTTCCATCTTGACGAATGTTATGGAAACACAGCAAAACATTACAGAATAGTATTTACATTGTTCATTGAAAATGCTTCAGATAAACAATATAATGAGTGAAATTTCTCTTTCACCCTTGGTACTCAGAAAATGCAGTGCAAAACACTGAATCATTTTTAAAGTTGTATAAAGGTGCTAAGATGCTCCACCTGTGAGGCAAGCCAATGTTGTCATAAGGGAGACTGCTGGGATTGGGTGGACAGGCTCATGTCGGGTGGACTTGGTTGACACATGTCATCATATCCCCACTGCGTAGATCGATGCTCATGATGTTGATCACTGGATTTTTGGTCCAGATTTACAGACTGCAATCATATTAAACAGTAACCAACAAACTAAAATTAGATCCTTAATATGTGGAAGAGCATGATGATGCCTGTAAGATAACTATGTTCTTGTTTGGTTCAGAAATTAGGGGGGCAGTGGGGTAGCCTAGTGGTTAAATCGTTGGCTCGTCACGCCGAAGACCCGGGTTCGTATCCCCACATGGGTACAATGAGTGAAGCCCATTTCTGGTGTCCCCAGCCGTGATGTTGCTGGAATATTGCTAAAAGTGGTGTAAAACCAAACTCAGTCAGTCAGAAATTAGGGCACTGAGTCTCTGCTGCGTTGTTTCACTTTCAAATTGTCAAGTGGTGGTGGGGTAGCCTAATGGTTAAAGTGTTTGCTCGTCACACTGAAAACTCGGGTTCGATACACCACATGGGTACAATGTGTGATTAGCCCATTGCTGGTGTCACCCACCTTGATATTGATGGAATATTGCTAAAAGTGGTTTACAACTGTACTCACTCACTCCATGTCTTCAACTCTAAGTATTGTATGTATACATTTGTGTATCCATGTAGGACCTGGCCGAGGAGATGGAGGACCTGAGGAGAGAGGAGGAGGCGATCCAGCAAGCGGAGGATGATGCTCGTCTTCAAGTAGCCATGGTCAGGAACATTGAACGTGAAGCTCGAGACAAAAGAAGAAGGGACGAAATGGAGAGGAAGAAGCAAGAAGCCATACGGAGAAGAGAGAAGGAGAAGCAAATGATAGAAGCAGCCCGACTGAAGGAGGCGGAGATGCTCCAGCGTATTGCTGACAACGAGATGAAGAGGAGATTGGAGGCAGAAGAGAAGCTCAAGAGAGAGGAAGAGGAGAGAGCAGCACAGGAGAAGTATGAGGTGAGCCATGAGGAAGATTCTGATGGTATAGTTCTCTGAGCACAACCACATTCATTCAGCAGTTGATACCTAAAAAAGACAGTGGCCACACAGTTTCTCACTATATGCTATGGCTTTATTGCTGGTTAAAGTGGTTAATGGTTAAAGTGTTTGTTCATCAGGCAAAACACCCGGGTTCAATTCCCCACACAGGTACAATGTTTGAAGCCCCTTTTTGGTCTCCCCTGTCATGATATTGTTCACTTAATTATGCATATTTTGACTGTGCGCATTGTAAATTGTGCAGTCTGATTAGGTCAACCAACTGATCAATTGTTATTGCATTCATTTCCTTTGTTGTGCAGGATGAGATGAGGCAGGCCCAGAGGGAGGCGGAGGAAGAGGAACAGAGGATGAGGGAGCTGGAGAAGGAGGTAAGGAGAAGTGTCGTCTTTCTGGTTGTAGATCCTCATGGTTGACAGGGGGGATGTTGTCAGTATCACTGTACATAAGGTGATGCTGGTAATGCACGTTACCAACATCACAACATGGCGGCAGACAAGATCGCTTGGCGATTATTCCCCTCGAATTTGCAGTCTTCCACGTGTATACAATCAGCATTATTTAGCACACTGATAAACTTTGATGGTGTGAATACATTGAATGCACTGAATTTGCTTATTAATGTCTGTGTGTTGAAGAATAAGCATTTTTAACATCGCGCGAGGATGTCGGTAACTCAAAAGTCTGGATGTCGGTAACGTGCAATGAATGATGCTGGTAACACATACTGTCCTGCTTTAGTCGGAAAACAGAAATTGTCGGTAAACAGAAATACAAAGGAGATACTAATATTAGTTCTTATGTTTTACATAGATGTGTACTGCTGCTACATTAACAGTATGAGCGATTTTTTTCTGTGCACTGGAGAGTTATTGCTTGCCTTGAAGCAGGGTGTGTTTAATCACACTATTTATGTGGCGTTTCATTGCACTTGAACGGATTTAGATACAGTGCATTCAATGTATTCACACCATCAAAGTTTATCGGTGTGCTGAATAATGTTGATTGTATACACGTGGAAGACTGCTAATTTGAGGGGAATAATCGCCAAGCGATCTTGTCTGCCGCCATGTTGTGATGTTGGTAACGTGCGTTACCAGCATCACCTTAGGTACAATGAGTATGGTTAACAGAGGGGATGGTGTCAGTATGGTTAACAGAGGGCATGTTGGCTGTATGGTTAACAGAGGGCATGTTGGCTGTATGGTTAACAGAGGGGATGTTGGCTGTATGGTTAACAGAGGGGATGTTGTCAGTATGGTTAACAGAGGGGATGTTGTCAGTATGGTTAACAGAGGGGATGTTGTCAGTATGGTTAACAGAGGGCATGTTGTCAGTATGGTTAACAGAGGGGATGTTGTCAGTATGGTTAACAGAGGGGATGTTGTCAGTATGGTTAACAGAGGGGATGTTGGCTGTATGGTTAACAGAGTTGATGTTGGTAGTAAAATACAAATATGAGTGGATTTCATACAAAATCAGAGCCTTGATAAGAACAGGAGAAGAATGTATCTAGAAGTATCACCTTCTTTGACATATATCTTAAAGGTTAACAGAGGGAATTTTTGTCAGTATAACATAAGTAAGTGCTCCATCTCCATAGTTTTCAATGGTATTTCAAGCCCAACTGAATCTGTTTCCATGTATAATGAAGACTGAATACTACCAGGTGTTTATAGTTTATATAAGTTTACTTATACCTAAGATTACCATGTGAGACAGATCTTCCAGTGACACCAGTATGCTGTGGAAAGATCTAGTGGTACTTAACACAATATATCTGTGAAACGGGAATATATATATTTTTTTTATTAATATATATTTATATAGCGCACATATCCACGCAACTGGTGCATGCTCAAGGCGCTGGTATTTTCCCCTCGATCATTGGATGTCAATCTCAACGGCACATCGTATTATCAATCTCAGCTCCCTGGGGAGTATACAACTCTTGCTGCCACTGGAAGTTATGGTGGCTTTCTCATCCTAACGAGGTACCCATTCACAGCTGGGTGGACTGGGACACATAGTCACAGTACTTTGTCCAAGTTTACTGCACGTTGCTGTACCCACAACTAGGTGTTTGCACGTATTCATGTGGCCACCATCTGGTCATATACCAACGGATTCGTGGGTTCTTTTAAGTGCACAGGGTTGTGTACTGTACACTAGGGGTTGTGACAACACTGAAAGAGTCTGCACACAAAGTTGACTCCAAGGTTTTTACAGCCGGTCACAGGTGGGCTCGATCCCAGCACCTCAACCTCGCTGGATCACTAGCCTTGCGCCTTAGCCAGCTCGCCCACCACGCCCCCAATACTATGTGAGGGTAAAATTCTAAAATGATAGAAAAATTAGTACAGTCTGTCATGCTGGTGTATGGGGTGGAACAGGTTTGAACATTACATTCATGAGTATTGCATTCATACAGCAATGTGTAGCTGCATGTAATAGCCTGGAATTGTACTTGTACCACAGCCTAACATGGACAGACCACTCAGCCCTTGTTTTATTCTGTACGTGCTAAGTGCCAGGCAGGGAAACATCAAACATAAGGTATCTAAAGACCTTTTGGTAGGATGCAGCTGTGGATCAGGGTATTGGACAGTAGTGAGCATGTTGACATGTTGATGATACGGGAATGTATCTTGCTACAGGCGGAGGAGGAGGCCATGCAGAGGTTGGTTGAGGAGAGGGAGAATGCGATGAGACGCAGATGGAAACTGAAGCAACTCGCACGCCAGATTGAAGAAGAAGAGCGGAAAAAGAGGTTTGCCATGTTTATTACTGAGGGATTAGTCATTTATTTATTTTATGGGGGTGGGGGTAGTGGACATTGTTCTATTTCTTTAAATAAAAGAATTATAGATTTAAACATTACGTAGGGACTTGTCATATATTAGTGGGTGTGCATTGAAGAACAGTTGCATAAAATTGGGCAATCAGCAAAGAATAAAATACTAAGACAGATCTCACCCCAGCCCTGCCCAAACCCCTCTTAGCTCCTCAACCACACATATGCTCTAATGCACACAATACAAATGACCAGTTCCTTACAATAATACACACAGGAAAATGTCATGTTTGCTTCAACACAGATATAAGTCACCAGAACTATCTTGTGTGTGTTACAGAGATGCTATGCTGTTGGAGGAATATAGACTGGCTGAGGAGAAGAGGGAGAATGAACTTGAGGAAGAGAGGAATAGGGAAGAAGAGAAGAAGAGGCTTGAGGAAGTAAGTTCTGTCAAAATTAATAAAATGTCTATTTCAGAAGAATATATATAATGAATAATGGGAATTAATAAGGGAAATCCTTTGAAAATCAACCCTAGATTCTGTAAACCTCATGCAGTAACACTAACCCTGAACTGTTGTGTTCAGCTTCAGCGTATGGAGGCTGAAGCGAGGGAGACCATGAGGCATGAGCTGGAACGTCGACGAGAGTCGGCCCTGAAACGTCGGGAAGTGAACCTAGAACGGCGGGAGAACCTGGACAACATCCGGCACGGTCAGGGCATCACACGGGCCTGGGTGTTCTCCTACTTCATGGAGTGGCCGAGGGAAACTTACAACAAGTGAGTTACTCCAAATAGTGATGGCCAGATCCAGGTTGTGGTCACTTCTTGTCTGACAACTGTCTGAGTATCATAGAGACACTTTATATAAGTAGTCATATTTATCTGTATGTGCAGTGTCTGTATGAGAGCTCATTAACAATATTTCAGTCGAGACCTCTTTTAACAAAATTTTAGGATTCATGAAGATCCAGGTTAGAATCAGTCTTCAGCAACCCATGCTTGTCATAAGAGGCAGCTAACAGGATTGGGTGGTCAGGCATGCTGGGAGTGCCCCCTCTATCTGATGCATGTTTTACAAATGTAATTTTAGATTCTTTCAGGATCCAAATTTACTGTAAAGGTATTTCAACATTTCAAAATTCAAAACGCATATTGCATCTCAGATAATTTGCATTCAGCTTCACTTCTTCTTACAGTTGTTATGACAACAGGCATTCTTTTTACATAAAGTTGTATCTGTGATTGCATCTGATGCGACTTTTTTTCAGATTAATGGGTGATGATGATAAAATTTCCAAGATGCAAGCATTCCGTCACAAACCAAAACCCCCAGCGGAGAAAGCCCCAGCAGAGAAATCAGCTGAAGTGCTACCCCTGAAGAAATACCTCTAGAAGTGGAGGAGATAGTTGATTCACCACCTAGCTGAGATTAGATCCTGTAGAACTCTACCTGCAATAGTGGTCTTTACCAAACCACAATCTCAGTCTCTGAAGTCATAATGGAGTCTTGTTATCACTGTTTCTGGTCTTCTGGTTGTGACATGCGCAGGTCTAAACATTGCCTTTGATTCTTCTCGATGAGATGGTGTAGATTCTGATAACTGTTTGGGTAGATTATCTTTAACAGTGTCGTGGACTTCTCATTCAGGTCTCCTGAGATCTGGGGTGGTGGGGTAGCCTAATGGTTATGGCGTTGCTTCTCACGCTGAAGACCCGAGTTTGATTCCCCACATGGTACAATGTGTGATGCTTATTTCTGGTGTCCCCCTTTGGTATATTGCTAAAAGCGGCATAAAACCATACTCACTCATGCTTCCATGATCTTAGGTTTGACTTCAAGCATTCTGAAGACTATATGAAAAATTTCCGCCTTGGGGATGTCTTTCCCTAGGTTAACGTTATCGATGAAGAGAGGTAATGGTTTGTGCTAACTGCTGTCATATGGTCAGGTGTATCAGCTTGATGAAGTGGTATTATGCCCTGACTGATACACGTTTTAGACGTTTTTTACACCTGCTTACAACCAATGATCATAATTAGGGTGAATTTGGGATTCAGACCATGAAGTACCAGATCCTGTCATGCCTAAGGGAAGCAGGAACTGCTGGAATATGCAGAGATAGAACATGACACATGATCAAGGTCCGTGAGTGTCAGTCTCAGGTCCATGTTATCGTGTTATATTAAGTACAATAACTATGGTTAGGCCAGACCAATTTTATTTCTTGTTTTATGGATCCTCCGGTCATATTTTTTCAAGAATAATAAAAAATAAAATAAAAATAAATAAATAAAAAAATTTGAGCACCTCAGCAAGTATGAACTTGAAAAACAATACCTTTTGAAAAACTCTTGTGGGTTTGTGCTTTGACTAGTGATTTTTTCTTTTTCCTCTCCTGCCTTTAGGTTTTCTGAGGACTAAAATCTGTAAAACAAGAAATAAAATTGGTCTGGCCTTATAATGAGTTATAAATAACGTTAGTGGCCAGGACAAACCAGTTTGTTATACCTATCAGGTTGTTACAAAACATTGTTTACTGTATGTTATACAACAAGCAATAGAGTGCCAGGGAACTATTCAACCTAGGTTCCCACTAGGGTTACTTGTTTTCCTTTGAATTTATTGTGGACCTATGTGAAAATGCAATCATGGACTTAAATTAATGGACAGCAAGTATCAGCTTTGTAAAAACTAAATATGAAAGATTTACACATAATTATATTCAAATGCAATTGACATTATTGTGTACATCTTTCAGTCATATTCATCCTTCTGTGTTTATTTTATATTTCAGTCATATTCATCCTTCTGTGTTAAAGTGAATTTAAAATTGCCAAATTTACGTCCTAATAAGTGAACGTCCAAAAGCACACTTAAAGCACAACTTTTTCAACCAGTCCAATGGTCATTGTGCACTTGAATTTAATTCTGGACTCACTGAAATACATCCTACGCAAGCTACCTACATGGAGCAGGAGACCATTAACATTCACACAACTATCACATCCTACCCGGTATCCATTCATTGCATATTTCAAACAAATGTCAGCAAATGTTGAAAGGACTGTCCAAGAGGTGATTCTTCACACTGGACAGGGAAAGCTTATCTGTGATATGATTACTTGTTGTATTTGTTGTGGAAGGTCTACTGTTGTTTACACAAGTCCTTTGTCAGTACCTTGAGTACTTGACAACCTGTTTTGTTGAAGTCTGTATCGTGAATTATTTACCTTATTCTGCCTATCACCATCATTTTAATGTCTTTAAATAAAACTTTCTTGTCATAATTGTGTTCATTATCTGGGGATTAATCGGATTCTACTCCTAGGCCAAATGTAGAGATAATATCATTATCAGGTAATATGATACACCAGACCTTATCACCCATACTGCATATCCTGATCATGTTGAACATCAGTGCTTGTCACCGTCCATTAAACCATGTGGTTAATACTCATGCAGTTGGTGTATGAACATGTGGACACTGTTTCAACAGCATGGGGGTAATCCTTGTTTGTTTTAGTAACCTGATACATTCTGTGTCTAGTTCCACATTGACAAGAATCTCTGGAGGGTGGGACTTGTCATACCAATTACTGGATAAGGCTTTTACTGCTGCTGAGAGATCCTAAAAGATAGGGACTTTTCTAACATTTGGCCTAGGACTAATTCATCGTAACTTAAAATTAGCACAAAACATCAAATAACCAATATAACCACAGTAACGGCAACCCGTACACCATAAGGCCATCCTCCGTGTTCTAGCGGACAGAGTCTCTGGCCAAAAATACAGGCAGTGGTTTGATCACTGGCTGCTTCAAGGTAGAAGACATGAAAATATGGTACTTGTTGTTTCCCTGCTTTGTGATTGACATTAAGGGGATACCAGGAGGACCTTGTCTGAGGTCATCCATGTTAAACAGCAGCATGGATCTCAGAGGGCTAGCACTATAAAACCTGCATTAGCCTGGACTGATAAAAAACAGCAACACACCTTCGTGCATGCAACCTGCTTGATAGCAATGTTACCTTGACTTCACTCCACCTTCCCTTCACAGGGAAGAAAACCAGCAGGGTGCAACACAGCAAGGTCTAGCAAGACCACACTTCCGGAACTCCGATCAGATAGCCTGAGAATTTTCTGTAAACCTAAACAGTGTTTTACATGACGCGTGATTCCTGCGTATTTAACGCAACAATTTTCTAAAAGACTCTCAAAATATTATCATACGAGTCAAGCTTGACGCAAGTTTTTGAGTGACCCTCAGAATTCAGTTCAATAAAATCGATTTGACAATGATCGTTTTATTGCAAACTGTGTTCAAAATGCTGGTGATATTAACAGAAAGTACGGGAGTGGCTAAATATAGAGCCATGCTAGAATGCGGTAAAGATACCAGCCAATAGCATTTGAGTGTCATTCACTATATTTAGACGGCCAATAGACTCCCAGATATTGAAAATGACTCCCAAAAAATAAATTCTGTGAGTCAGCATGACTCCCATTTTTCAAAGTTTGTGTAAAACCCTGACCTGAAGGTCTGGGTTAAAACTGATCTACAGCAACCCATGCTTGTCACAAGAGGCAACTGACAGGATGGTCAGGCTCTCTGACTTGGTTGGTGCATGTCATCATATTCTAGTTGCATAGATCAATGCTCATGAAGTCAATCACTTGATTATCTGGTGCAGACTTGATTATCTACAGACCGCTGTCATATATCTAGGTGGAATATTACCGAGTGTGGTGTTCAAACTAGTACTAGTACACTAACTAGTAGCCTTGAAGTGAAATGACTGTTGGTCAACGAGTGAGTGAATATTCCAGCAATATAATGGAATGGAACCCCATAAATACATCATACATTATAAGCATGTGGGAATCCTTCCCCAGCTTTAGTTATTAGTGAAGGCTTTAATCACAAAGCTAGCCCACCTTCGTCTCAGTTCAAGAAATCTGCAGCACATCTTGTTCCTGAAGTGTGATATGTGCTTATCAATGACATGCTCTTTTGGAAAGAAATTGAGAGGAAACATATTTTCTGGCAAGATATATTTTTGTTATTGATGTGTTTATTGCTTAAAGACTCATTCAGCAATGTTCCAGCTATCTAGACCTCCTCCGTGGTGTAGCGGTTAGAGCCTCCGCCCGGAGAGCGGAAGGTTGCGAGTTCAATCCCCGACCGTGTCATACCAGAAGACGTTAAAATATGGTACTTGTTGCTCCTTGCCTGGCACTTGGCATTAATCGGTACAACAAGGACTGGTCGGCTCGGAGTCAGTATGTGTCTGAGGGGTATTCATGCTCCAATGCGGCATGGTATCTCAGTGGGCTAGCACTATAAAACCATCTTCAGTCTGGGCTAGTACAAGCAGCCGCACATACACATACACACGCATGCATGTCGCCATATGAGCGAAATATTCTCAAGCACGACGTTAAACCCAATTTCACCTCGCCTCACCTCACCCATGAAGATCCGGGTTAGAATTGATCTTCAGTAACCTATGCTTGTCTAACTGGATCTGGGGGTCAGGCTCGCGAATTTGGTTGACACGTCATCGTATCCCAATTGCGTAGATCGATACTGTTTGATCACTGTATTGTCTGGTCCAGACTCGATTATTTACAGTCCGCCGCCATATACATTTGTAGCTGGAATATTGCTGAGGACGGCGTAAAACTAGACTCACTCAGCCACTGAAGTTCCCATGTATAACCACAAAGGGTAGTATGAAACGAGGTTCTCGTCCAAGGATTAAAAGGCTGTTCGGGCAGTATTGACTCTTAAATCTGGGGTATGTTTGGCATATATTCTCAAGCACGACGTTAAACCCAATTTCACCTCACCTCACCTCCAGCTATCTAAATAATGCAGTGTGGACCTGACAATCCAGTGACTGATTTTAAGAGAGACATCCCATTGGGAAAAGTGATTTTATTGCAATCGTTAATATTCCAACTATATGGCAGCAGTCTGTAAATAATCAAGTCTGGACCAGACAGTCCAGTGATCAAGAGTATGAGCATCGATCTACGTAATTGGGATACGATGACATGCAGTCAGCTAGTCTGGCCAGCATGGGTTGCCGAAGACCAATTTTAACCCAAATCTTCACAGGTATTGGGGAAAGTGATGGATGCAATCAACCAAGTCAACAAATCTGACTGCCTGATCCATTTAGTCGCTTGTTATCATAAACACAGGTAGCTGTGTAATTTTATAATCCAGAAAACCCTTCGATAAGAGCATGTTTAGGGAGAATTTTGTGTATGTTCTCTGCAATGATTAAACTTATTTTATGCAAGAGAAATAACAAAAAGTATTATGGAGACCAAAATTCAACTTGGTTCACTAAAGGACTCAGAATTAAGCCATATTAAAAATACATATTTAGAAAAGGTAAGCTTCTGTATTTGTAAATATTCTTTCATATAATCTGATATAACATTTATTTTAGGATATTATGACTTTTTTGGTCTCCTGCATCCTGGAATGCTGGCTTAAACAAGAAAAACATATTGATATGACATTGTCAAGACTTGCCAGTTTAAGACATCTTTATAATGTCCACTTAAAAAATACAACAGCTGAAAACAAATCAGAAACAGAAAATCTTTAATACACAAATGAGATTTGACAGCACTATAACATGTAGATCTACAAATTAAATCTGCTAGGAAAATACATTCAGATATTTTCATATACTCTATTTTTAGTGAGAGGATAGAAACATACAGATCTACAAGCACAGCAATGTGACATCAGCTATAGCAATACATGTACATAGATATAATCAATTTTCAATGAGCATATAGAATATTCTTGTACACCATCTTGGCAGTGTTGATATGTACAGTGTCAACATCGTACAGTCATAAATTACATAAATATAAAACATGAATAAAATTTTATGTTACAGTTCACAACCTTGGAATGGAATGTTTGTCTGAGATATTCTCTCAAGACTCATGACGAAGTACACGCATTGATAAAAAATACTGTGTAATAAACTCGTAAAATATGTGTGGAAATAGCATAACCAAGATCCTATGTTTGAAAACATATACTTGTACCTTTCTCTGTAGAAAATCTCTAAAATCGAGTCAACAACTCATTACAAAATAAATTAATTACGTGATGAAATACAAAACATTCTTGCCACATCACATTCATCAAATGTCAATGTTGAGTTATGAAGTGTTTAAGGCCAGACCAATTACATTTCTTGTATTATGGATCCGCCGGTCATATTTTTTCAAGAATAAGAACACAAAATATTAATTTTCCCTG